GTCTGAATTGTAGAGATTTCCATTCTTAAGAAATCTAGAGGCTGAGCTTTGGAATCAGACCTAAGATTGAATCCATCTCCATCACTGACCACCTGCAGAACTGAGGGCACATTTCTTAATGACTCTGAGCCAGTTTCCCTGAGTGTACAGACCAAAATACTTATTTTCAATAGCCACTATGCAGATTAAATGAGACTGCAGGTAAAGATTTAACATGCCAGAACCACCACAGATGATTGACAAATATTAATTCCCTTTCTTTCTATAGAAATAGTAACTTCAAATGCCAATTCTTAACCACAAAATATTTGTTGTTCAATATTAAATATTTGTTGAGTACCTAGTATGTGCCCTGGGTCCTCTGGTAGGGAAGGCAGCCAGCACACAGGTAATTACACAAATAACTGATTGATAACAATCATTGTGTTGAGTGTTGCTGAGTATGTTTTGAAGGAGACGACAGATTTCTTCACAATGACCATGCTGTGGCCACTCATCTCCCAGCTCATGCCCCTTTCCCAACCCTGGGTCTGAGAGCCAGAGCCCTGACATTCAGCCAGGGGTTCCCCCGGTAAAGGGTTATGGTTTTCTCCTCCTGTGAACTTCCTCTGAATCCCCCTACAAGGAATATATTTGGTGAGAGGAAAGGACTGATGGGGTCCAGGAATTAGTGGGAGGGACTCTTTGAGCTGGACTTGCGGGGTTGGTACCTGTGGGGGCTTCCTGGGGACTTGTCTGCTCAGCTTGTGCCCTTCCTGGATCCCCAGCAGGTGCTGGTGTCATTCTGCCAGCCCGCTTGGAGGTCTGCACAACGTGCATATGCCTGTCCGAGGATGGATATCACAGGGCTCTACGGAAGGAGAGGGGAACAAATCTTTAGTGATGCCCACCAGGCACTGTACCAGGCACTGACCCCCACAGCAATCAGGTGAAGGTGCGATTATTATTCCCTTTTTACACAGGAGGGACCTGAGACTTAAGGAAGTTTCATTCATTCATTCAACGGATGTCTATTCAGTACATTCTGTGCCAAATTCTGAGTCCAACACAAGGTCACAGAGCTGCTAAGTGGGTGAGCTGGATTCAAAGTCCACCTGGCTTCAAACCCCTTGCTCTTTCCCATCCAATACAATACCTTGAGAAGGTCAGAGATTTTTATCCTCAGAATGATCACAAAATGATTGGGGTGCCAGGTATATCAGAACAAGACAGGCAGTAGGGCAAAGCTGTGTATACACTAAGTATCAAAGGAAAAGCCTGTGATGATGGGCCCAAGCGCCTCCTCCATTAGACTAAGAGCTCTCTAAGGGCAAGGACTGGGCTTTCTCCGTCTAAGCATCTCCAGTGTTGGGCACAGGGCAGGTAATGCACACAACAACATAGACAAAATTCACATGCACTAGCCTAAGTGAAAGAAACCAGACTCAAAGGCTACATGCTGCGTGATTCCACTTACACGGCACTCTGAAAAAGCAAAACTGTAAAGATAGAAGACAGGTGAGTTGCCAGAGGCTGGGGTGGGAGGAGAAGACTACAAGAGGGCCTGGGGAATATTTTGGGGGAGATGGAACTGTTCTATATTTATATTGTGACAGTGGCTACATGACTACATGCATTTTTCAAAGCTCATAGAACTACACAATAAAAATGGTGAATTTTACTGTATGCAAATTACACTCTAATTTTTTAAAGTTTATTTATGTAAGCAATCTCTACACCCAATGTGGGGCTCCAACTCATGACCCCGAGATCAAGAGTTTAATGCTCCACCAATTGAGCCAGCCAGATGCCCCCTCTAATTTTTAAAATGGGGGGGGGAATAGGGGAGGGGGGATAATGAATACAAGCAGAAGTGGATTTATAGTGAAGCTAATCAAGTTAAAGCTTCAGGGCTCCTCAACTGCATGGGCCCTGGGAGGAATCCTAGCAATGTGGTCATCACATTTTTTTTTAAAGATTTTATTTATTTGTCAGAGAGAGAGCGAGAGAGAGCGAGCACACAAGCAGGGGGAGCGGCAGGCAGAGGGAGAAGCAGGCTCCCCACTGAGCAAGGAGCCCAATGGGGGACTCGATCCCAGGACCCCGGGATCATGACCTGAGCCGAAGGCAGAATCTCAACCAACTGAGCCACCCAGGCATCCCCATGTTCATCAAATTTTTTATGACCTTTTCTGAAAAAACTCCTGCTGTCCACTGTAAAAGCTTCAGGCCCCATGAAACTAGACCCACCCCTGTAACAAGAGCAAGAAACGATCAAGAGAGGAAGAATGGCAGGCTCCCAAGGTGTTGGACTCAAGTGGAACCCTACAGAAAGGAAAGAGTTGGTCCTAGCTGACAGAGGTAGAAAAGACAACCCACAGAGAGGAACCAGCATGGACCAAAGTGCACAGGCTTTCCAGGGTTTCCAGAGATGACACGAGCACCAGGAATTTGGTGGTCCTACACCATAGGTCCACTACCCCAAACCCCTGTGTCCTGGTGTGATCTCCTCAGCCACACCAAGCCATTCTAGGCAAGTAGGAAAGCTGTGACCTAATGTGATGTGAAAATTCTAGATGCTGGTAAGCTGGTGTTACAAGCATTTATCGTTCTTCTGGCTCCCTGAATAATAATGACCCCCACCGCCTTGTGTAGTGAGGTTTTCACCTTAACATACCTGAAGCTGAAAATGGTTAATGCTCACTTTTCCAGCTTCCCTTGCAGTAAGGATGTGGGCCTGTGGCAGATACACCTGCTCAGGTATGAACCAAGTCCTTCCAACTCTCTCGATCAGCTATACTGAGGTTGCATTCCTCAGACTAACATTTCCATGATACCAAGTGAACACAGACTGCCAAAAGACGCCGGTCCTATATGTCAAGTTACTGAGCTTTTGATGGTTAAAATAAGCCAAGTTAACAGAGTAGAATATAGCTAAGATTGAAAATGGTTCTGTCTCTAAGAGGTATTTGCACACCCATGTTCATAGCAACATTATTCACAAGAGCCAAGAGATGCAAACAAAACAAAATGTGATTTTATGTGTGAGGTAAATAAATATAAATATAAGTATTAATATTAACATAAATATGATGGAATATTATTCAGCCTTAAAAATAAAGGAAATCCTGATACATACTACAACATGGATGAACTTTGAGGACATCATGCTAAGTGAAATAAGCCAGACACAAAAGAGACAAATAGTGTATGATTTCATTTATATGAGTAGACTCCCTCTGATAAATCTACTACTTATGTAGATACTACTTTAGATAGGTCAAATTCATAGAATCAGAAAGTAAAATGATAGTTGGCAGGGGTTGGGGGGGCGGAGAAGAAACAGGGAGTTGTTGTTTAACAGGTACAGAGCTTCAATTCTTAATTTTGCAAGATGAAAAAGTTCTGGAGAGGGGCGCCTGGGTGGCTCAGTTGGTTAAGCGACTGCTTTCAGCTCAGGTCATGATCCTGGAGTCCCGGGATCGAGTCCCGCATCGGGCTCCCTGCTCAGCGGGGAGTCTGCTTCTCCCTCTGACCCTCTTCCCTCTCGTGCTCTCTATCTCTCATTCTCTCTCTCTCAAATAAATAAATAAAATCTTAAAAAAAAAAAGAAAAAGAAAAAGAAAAAAAAAAAAGAAAAAGTTCTGGAGACTGGTTGCACAATAATGCAAATACACTCAACACCACTGAATTGTAATACTTAAAAGTGGTTAAGATGGTAAATTTTGTTATGTTTTTTTTACCACAAATAAATGTATGATGTTTATGAACCAAAAAAATCTTGACATGAATATTTGTTAAAATCATCCATATTTGAAAATTTAAAAGAACAGAATTTACTTTGTATAAGCCATTAGTTCATTGAATCCACAAGTGGTTCATCCTAACAAATTCTAACAAAAATCCTAGCAAATTTAGAAAAAATGGAATATATAGCCTTTCAAGTTACATCTGTTCTGTTTCATGGTAAAATGCTATTTATTTAATTCACTGAATTTGTCAAACCAAAGAAAATGTACCAATTTTAGAAGGCACTGTCATCTCAATTCATTAGAGGATATCATGACATAAAATGAGTGAACATTAACAAGCAACGCAAATATATTTTCTAAATGATCTGGTTGTGGAGAAAGAAAGAAAATGCTGTGTATTATGTTCTACCCAGAAGTTACACCACTAAATAGGTTCCTGCTGTTGATATTTTAAATATTTTTTTATACCTTGATTTGTTCCAGAAAGGATCTGAGGAGGCTGGTTCATAAGATATTATGATTCCAGGCCACTGGGCTTGTCCGCAGAAAGGTCTGGGGCAGCTAGTACAGTCAGTGACATCATCCCACCTGAAGGGGAGGAAGGGGCAGGAGGACTTGTCTACACTCGACTCCTATGCCCACAGAAGAACAAAGATGGTCTGGCTCATGCCCAGAATGCCTCCCTGATTAGACCACAACAGCCCAAGAAAGGAAAGCAAGCTAGAAAACAGCCCAAGTTTCCTTCAGGGAGAGAAATTTAAGTTTTGAGGGGAGAATCTCCAGCACATGTCTTAATTATGAGGGAGTTACGTTAATTATGAGGGACAGGTAGTGAACAAACACACCTGATGGCTGCTAGAGAAAGGTCCCGCTGGATGTTCTCCTAAAGTGCCTCCAGGGCTGGCCAGCCTGTACCCCGCACAGGGAGCACCTGCCCTGCTGACGATGCAAGCATGTCCTCTGAGATGGCCAGCGAGTGTGGACCCCTCAGCTGTGCTGGCTGCCCAGCTCCAGAGGCTCTGGCCACCACCAGGCGCAGTCCAGCCCTGAGTGAGGGAGGTGAGGCCCCGGATTGTTTTCCATGCTTGTAAAGGTAATCTTTGGTACTGCTCTACAAGGTATGATGGAATACCACTTAATAGTTAAGAAGTTGGAATAGAGCCGTGACGTACGCCAGGGCTGTTGCTGTGGGAACGACTCCCTGGGCTCCGGTCCGGACCTGGATCACCCGCGCAGTCTTGCGAGCTGCATTGGGGAGCTCCGTCTCCACCTCCACTTCAGGAAGTCATTATGTGACTAACACATTTTCATCAGATTTCCTCCGATTTACCCTGAAGTGTATGTAAGAATGATGTGCACTGCCAAGAAATGTGGAATTAGGTTCCAGCCTCCAGCTATTATCTTAATCTATGAGAATGAAATGAAGGGGAAAAGTCGCCAACGCATCATGCCAGTCCGAAACTTTTCGAAGTTTTCAGATTGCAACAAAGCTGCTGAACAATTAAAGAATAATCCACGACACAAGAATTACCTGGAACAAGCGTCCCTGAGGCAGCTAGAGAAGTTATTCAGTTTTTTACGAGGTTACTTGTGGGGGCAGAGTTTGGCAGAAACAATGGAACAAATTCAACAGGAAACAACAATTGATCCTGAGGAAGACCTGAACAAACTAGATGATAAGGAACTTGCTAAGAGAAAGAGCATCATGGATGAACTTTTTGAGAAAAATCAAAAGAAGAAGGATGATCCGAATTTCGTTTATGACATCGAAGTTGAGTTCCCACAGGACGAACAACTGCAGTCTTGCGGCTGGGACACAGAGTCAGCTGACGAGTTCTGATATCAAAAACTCAAAGAATGGATTGGGCTAGCAGAAAATCCATGTCTATACAAAGGATGTATGAACATGGTTCTAGAAAAATCTGTAAAGAACACTAAATGTACATGTTGGGTCAAGTTTGGATTGACCAGGTTACTTTTCAAAACCAGGACATGTAGAGTATCTACTATGTAGATGCATGAGGAAGATACGAAAACCAAAATATAGGAGTCTGCCTTTAAGGAGCTTACAATCTAATTGGAAGGTAACTCAAAAGCTTGTGAAAAGCTAATTAACAGAATTAGGCAGCAAAAAGATTAGAGCCAGATGCTTGATAAAAGTTAAAGAGGGTCAGAGCCTAGATGACCATAGGTTTAGAATAGTCAGGGAAGACTTTGTCCTTTAGTAGAGAGATGGGACTTTGCCTGACCCTCAAAATGGTAGTGTTTCGAAAGAAGTTTATATAGAATTCCAGATGAGAGAAGCTGGGAGAAGAAAGGGGTGGGAGGATGGGTAGTGGTATAGAGATAGGGATTAGAACATTTTATTTGAGGGACAGTAAGCATATTATAGTTTGGTAAGATTGGAAGGCGTGTATGGTTACCAGGGGATTATCCTGTGTGCATTTTGTCTTTAACTCTGGAGTATATGTATATATATGTATTTTAACTCCGGAGTAGGAGAGTAGCCTTGCAGAATGCCCTGCAGCTGCAAGTGGATGTCATTTGATGGACAGCAGGGGAATTCTGCAGCTCCAGGAATCAGGAAACCTGTACTAAAGATATTCTGAAACCCTGAAACTCTTCCCATAAATAAGGAGGTTTGTTTGTAAAATGGGAAATCTAGCCATAATGAATGAATAATAGGCATCGCCAGTTTAGGCCTATTCATGAGTTTGGATCTACAAAGAGAAGATCTTTGTTGAGCCAGGTTATATGTGTACAGATACATCTTTCTTCTTATTAGAATATTAATTGGCAGATATTCTATGTTTTCTGTAAGGAAATTAATACTAAATAAAACTGTAAAAATTAAAAAAAAAAAAAGAAGTTGGAATAGAAGTTTGCTTTGTTTAGAAAATAGAGATATGCCTCCTAACCACATAATGAGTACTACTGGTTGTTGTTTGTTTGTTTGTTTTTTAAGTAAGATCCACGCCCAACATGAGGCCCGAACCAACGACGCTGAGCTCAAGAGTTGCATGTTCCAGCCAGCCAGGCGCCCCGAAAACTACTCTTGAACGACGGTGCCATTTGTTTCTGCAGATCCAGAAAGAATGGATAAAACCAGGTCACTGAGAAGGAGAGAAGCATTCCCAGATTGAAAGAGTTGGCTTTGAGGCTGGAGAGAGAAGAAATTTTGTTTGCTTCAGAATGAAAACAATATGCGTTCTTTCCATTTGTGCGCCCCCAATCATAGGGCAGGCCTACGGGAGTGGTTAGTGAGGGAAATCCTGTAATCCAGGGGCCAACACCGAGGAGGAAAGCTTCACAGAAGAAACAAGTTAACATCACATAATAACCATAATAAGTGTACTGAATGCTTGCTGCATGCTGGCCATGGGTTTAGGCACTGTACAAAAACTCTGTGAAGTAGGCATGATTACAGTCTCTACCGTGAAGACTGGAAATAAGGATCAGAGAAGTTAAATAATAATTGGGGTAAGGGCACACAGTAAGTCTGTGGCAGGGCTGGAACTTGAATGTGAGATTTTAAAGCTTGGATGCTAAAATCACTGAGGTCCCCACCTTTTTGATGCCACAAAATCAATAAAATATTTAGGTCACACATTACTTGTATCACATTATTTGTGGGCTTTGCTGAGGAAATCTTTTTAAGTTATCACAAGAACTGTTAATTAAGAATGAGATCGTCCAAAGCAGAGGTCCACATACCAAGGTTCATGCCAACCAGAACATAACTTGTTTCCTGCTGCAAGCAAACAAGGGTAAGGGACCGTGTCAGGGACAGCCACTTCTCCCTCCGAATGTCCCATGGGAGTATATGCCACAAGCCTGTCAGACACGCAGCCCCAGTACCCACTCCGGGCTGTGCGCTGTGCTCCACTTGATCTTCCATACGCATAATGCCCAGTGCCTTTCCCTGACCACAGAGCTGGTCAGCACCTGTGAAGGGGGGTTGTGGCCTGGCTGTAAATTTGCCTGCACCCTAAGCTGCTTGCAGAGCAGGAACAACCTCAGAGGCTCAGGGCCCTCGGCACTGGGAGTTATTTAACTAGCCCTGGGGTGGTGCTGGGTCAAGCCCTTAGGCCTGTAAGACCCAAGAATGCCCTGTAGCTGGAAGACCAAGGAGAGCCACTGCCCACAAGACAGATTCTCCCTGGGGGTTGGTGTGGGGAAAAGAACACTGACATTTCAACACAGATACTTTTTTGGAGGTTGTGGGGTGGGGACCCACTGTCTCAGGAGAATCATCAAAGTATCCCACTCCCCAATCCATTGCTTGGTTCTGTGTGTGACATCAGGGTAATGCCTCTTCCCAAAAGGTTCTGGGGGACCTCAGAGGACACCAGTCTTGGTCCCTTCCAAAATAAAGAGATAAAACAATTCTCAAGTCCACCCCACTCCCTTTCCCAAGGAAGACCCAAGAAGGCTTTACTGTAAATGGTAGAGATGGCCAGAACCTCAGCACTTAGAGGCTATTACCTCCCACCCCCACCCCAGCTGGTCTGTCAAGAAATGCCGGGGCTGAGGCATCCTTGGAGATACCCCTGAGGGGTATAACTAAGTAACTGGCAGTCTCTGACATTTGAGCATAGAGTAGCTCTCCAGCTCCTTTGCCAGGGCAGCAGGTACAGAAGGCAAGTTGTTTCTTAGGGTGGGTTGGTTGGTTGGTTAGTTGGTTGGCTTGGGGAGCTGTGGAACTCAAGGAACAGGAGGGTTTTGGAGCAAACAGCATGGGTAAAGGGGCCTGGCCTCAGGAAGATCCATATCCACTAGGCCTCAGGATGACACCTCCGGGGCCCTGTGCACTGAAGGGAGGAAGTGGCATCGGAGAAGGGCTCCCAGCTGCAGGTCAGGAACCCTGGTTCTAGGTTCAGCTCTGATCCCACGTGGCAGGGTGATCTCGAGCCATCACAACGCTCCACCCCTGTCTCCCAGACCTGGGGCTCCTCATTCTTTCATTCAGAAAACGCTGACCTGCTGGTACACATTGTACTGACCTAGTACAGTAGATGTCCCGAACTGTTTTATTGCTGGCGAGCCAGCAGTGAACAGATGGGGAGAGCATGCTGTGGCGCTCTGGGGCACCCCTTCCCCTGGCTCAGGCATTCTTTTGTCCCATGACTACAGTCTGACCCAGGTCCAAGCCCTGGTCTCTGCTTGGCTGCCTGCACAGTGCAGACGCCACTGAGCATGAACTGTCCCCCCGACCCTAACTCTGCATCCTGAGATAGTCTGAGCATGTTAGCACACACCCAAATCATGGTGATAAGCCAAAAACCAAAGCTGCTACGAGGCCATCAGGACAGACCTGGACAGTCACCTCTCACTATGGTATATTCCTGGAAATTGCAGCAAGAAGTAGTGTGGTCAAAGGGGGAATCTTTTTTTTTTTTTCTGTATCCCTTTGTCACCAGCAGATGGGCATCAATGGTCAGCAAGGCAGAGTGCTAACAGACCTTTCCTTCAGATGGGAGGGAAGCAAAGAATGCGTGGACTGGGATGGAAGACAGGAAAATAGAGGTGTGCAGACGAGCAAGCAAGGAAGTGGGGGTGACAAGAACTGACATCATTCTTGACGGAGCAATTCCACCACTCAAAAACCTTCTATGGCTCCTTGCTGCCCTCTGGAAAACATCCAAACTGCTCACCTTGGAAATGAGAGCCTCCACCATCTAGCCATGCCCCACCCTCAGCTCCATGTGCCTTCCACTGATCCCTGCGCACACCCCCTGTGCTTCTGCCACTGTACCATGCCATCATGCTCTTCCCCCTCTCTGTCTGCCAAATCCTACGCATGTTTCTAATGCACTGGATTAGAAGCCTTAGCACTACTGACCTTTGGGGCCAGATAATTCCTTGTTGGAGGGGAGTTGCCCTGAGCACTGTGGGATGTTCAGCGGTATCCCTAGGCTCTGAATGTCAGTAGCTCCAGATGCCAGTAACATTCCGTCCATCCCAGGTGTGCAATTCAAAAATGTCCCCAGGAATTGCCAAATGTCCCCTGGAGGCAAAACAGCCTCTGGTTGAGAACCACTGTTCTACACCCAGATTCAGTGCTACTCTTTTCAAGAAACCCTTCTCTGAGCTTCTTAGGAGGGTTATATCATACACATGTGCCTTTCACATGCGTTGTTATATTCTACTAGCATTTAATATGGTTCTCCTGTCAGCCTGATTTATATGTGATTCTATCAGCCCTTCCCCACAGGCCATAAGTTTCTTAAGGGCAAGGAGCACATTTTCTTCATCTTACGCAGGCAACAATACCATCCAGAGTAGACAATACATACTGGTCTAGGGAAAGTCAATGACTAGGTTTAACTTGCTTATTGTTAACATAAACATAACTTGTTTATGCTACTTGTTTATGTCTAGTGTAGAAAAAAGTTAATTATAGAAAAGAATAAAATAAAAATCACCCACAATCCTATCACTAGCAATAACAGTAGCCAAAATACTGCTATTCTGGGTATGTCCCTCCAATACTGGTATGCAGATGAAATACTTGTATATGTATCTTTTTCTGTGCACAGAGAGTAGAGGGGAAGTACCTGTGGCAGAGGTGACCGCTCAGAGCCAGAATGTCATGACCACAGGGGTGTCTGAGGGCCATCTGGCCCCCCCTTGGCATGTGCTTGGATTCCCTTCAGGATGCTACTCCTGACTCTGTTTGAACTGCTGCAAATGCAGGAACTCAGCTATCACCCAAAGCAGCCTGTCCACCTTGGACCAGTCTAGAACTCTTTCATCTATTGACCTGAAATCTGTTACCCAGGAGCTTCCATTTCTTGGTCCGATCCAGATTCTACCTCTTTAGCCATACTGGTCTACTCAGTCTTTTTCCCTTCAACAGGGTGTCATCCAGCCCTCCTTCTTCCCCTCGTTTAAGAACTTCCCGTCCCAACTGCTGGCATGGGCTCCAGCACCCATGTTCACACTATCTGCTTCCCCCCATCCTGAGCAGTCAGGTCCTATCTCCCAGGGGCTGGTATTTGGGCTGAGAAACTTGAGTTAGTAGTTGCTGGATACTTGAAGGGGGGACTGACTGCCACAGTGGGTGCCCATGAA